TTCTTTCTTTCTTTCTTTCTTTCTTTCTTTCTTTCTTTCTTTCTTTCTTTCTTTCTTTCTTTCTTTCTTTCTTTCTTTCTTTCTGTATTTTTTAAAAATAGGAACGATTATTAAAACCCCTGGGTGCCTTTGTTGGAATGACGGGTGAAATGAGAGAACTCGCGACCGTTGTGAGCAGGGTGAGGCCAAACCTCTCTTTTTCGTCCTGAAAATCTGGGATCTGCTCTGCGCACTAGGCCAAGTTGGTTGAGGAATTAATCCTCCCCTTCGCCACCTCTCGATACCAGAACCATGCAGGAGCAACAGGAGGCACGTCTACATACAGATAGAGGGGCCCGTTCTGGGCACAACCCAGTGGAGCGGTTTTCCACGTGAGCCTTGCTGAAAAGGATACGCCCTCGCATCCACTTCGGTGGGATCCATGCAGATGACTTTCTGATGGGTTACTGGCTCTCTGCACGCACAAAAGAAATGGTCACTGACCAATGCAGGAGATGAAGTTTGATGGTTTGTTAATGCAAGAGCGACTTGCGTGCTCGCTAGCAGCTGCACACAGCCTGCGAAGCACACAGCTCCCACAGCAGGAGCTTTGGGACCTTTTCTTTCAAATAGCAAAAAGAAGCCCTTCGCTTCTGGCAGTTCCCTGCCCTCAAACTTGAGGGACTCCGAGTGGCTGCTTCTGGTGCAATGCAGAGAATCGGTGCAAGTGTTTGTGAGTAATGGTGCCGTTTTACGCGTGTTTAGACTGAACAACGTCCCACACCTCCAGGTATTTCCTAGCCAGAATGCCTAACTGGTTGGAGCATTCTGGGAGCCACAGGGCTCTTTCCTGTCTAAACATGCTCAAGATTGCACTCTTGGGGGCCGCCTGATGCAGCATCTCGTGGCCTGCCTATAGGCCACAAAGGTCATACATGCAACCCTAAGCCTAATTACTGAGCAGCCTCAGCAGCTGCAGTGGAATTCACTCCTAGGCGAGCAGGCTTAGGATTTCCATTCCTTTGTTCCATTAGCAATTTAGACCTTGTGCTCTCAAAGCAAACAAGCAGTCTCTTTTCATCTCATTTAATTTTACAGCCCAGCATAAGCTTATTCTTCTGCATCCATGTTTATCGTGCTTGAGTGGGGAAATAAGAGTCCTGTTGTTTAAAAGAATCCAACCATCTCTTGCAGGATATCTACCTCCATAACCCTAATGTAAAGTGGGATGATATCATAGGACTCGACGCAGCCAAGCGGTTAGTCAAGGAAGCTGTTGTGTACCCCATAAGGGTAAGCAAATCCTAAGGGCCACTGAGCCCATTGCCTGGTGCTGTTTCTTTTCCTTGTGAGTCCACAACGTGGATTTCGAAAGTATTGACTTTGTGGGTGGAACGATGAAGAAGAGCTGGGGAAGACCTGCAGCTAGAGAGGAACTTAAGGTGGCATTGCCTTGCTTGAGGCATGCCTGGTGCTTGGGCTGCTTCTGCTGCCGGCCTGGCCAAAATCCATCTTATTGTGGCACTGCTGAGCTGCAGCAGTTGATGGTTCCTTGAGACCTAAAGACCTCCCACCCTGAAGGAGGCAAGAGCTGCCTTTTCCACCAAAGGTGATTACGTGGTAAAAGTGAGGATGAGGGAGGGTGGATCTTTCTTGTTCCCCCCTTGCATCAAACTCCCAGCACATGGAAAGGGGGGGAAAAAAGATCTACTGCTTCCCCTGTCTGCATACCAGGCATCGTCCCTTGCCTTGCCAGTGATTTCGGTCTCTCCCTGATCAGCACGTTTGCGGAGGACAGCTCTGAGCAACGAGAAGAGCTTCGTTCTGTACGGGCACTGCCCTCCTCCTTTGTGAGGCAACTGGAATGGGGCAGCGCAGCAGGATGTTACAGCTGCTGGTGCCAGACAGGGCATCTGGCGGTGGTGGCGGCTTGAATGCCGCGTGAGCCCTTGAATTCCCCACCCGCAAGGCGCGAGTTCCCTGCAAAGTCGAGGCCCACAGATGGACATGGATATTCATGTGGGGTGGCTGGTTGCCCCTTGCCTTTCTCGGGCTATGAACTCAGACCTCCCCAACCCTAAGGGGAGCCCTTGTCTGGCAGGGGCCATTGCTTCATGATGGAGCATGTGCAGAAGGGCTCCTGGCACCCCCAGTTAAAGGCTCCCGGGCCAAACTAAATTAGATGGCGAGTCTGGGAGGGTCCAAGATGAGCACTGGAAGGAGCTCACAGCCGAGCAGTGCAGGAACTGCTGCCTTGCTCCCTGCAGCTTGCCTTGGAGCCGTTCTCTGCACTGGAGTTTCAATACTGAATGAGTGACCCAGTTGGAAAAAGTGCTTGGAGAAAGAGGTTGCCCTGCAGGGGTGCGGGGCAGGATTTAGTGCCCAGGAAGGTCTGTAATTGATTGGCAGAGCACCTGTTCTGTGGGAAGAAGGTCCCAAACTAAATCCCTCACATGTTACCTGGCAGGGGAAGGCCACATGCAAGGCGCCCCTCTGACATTGAGCTGCAGCTCCTCCCCACACATGGCAGCTCCTTGCCCTCATCTGGCAGCCCTTTTTCCTGTCAGTTTTGGACTCTCTCTCTCTCTCTCTCTCACAAACACACACACAACTTTTCTATATCGTTGGAGCACTGATCTGCTTAATCATCTTTAGCCAGGGGTGCAGACCCTCAGGCCAGGCAGCAAAATCGGCCTGCCTGGCATCCCAGCTGGGCACTCCAGAAGGCCACAGCTCTTCCCCCCACTGCCAGCAGTTTCCCAACCTTTATGCAGTTCCAGCTCCCCATGTTAAAAGGTGCAAATGTCCCTCGGAAGGCTTAGCTTGCTGACAGCAACCGCTTTAAGCTAAACTGCTGGCCCCATATGTTCCCCTTTCGGCCTTGCCCACCACTGGAAGGCAGCCCCAAAGCTTGTCTGCACTGGAAGGCAGCCCTTGGGTTGGAAGTGGCTCAGGAACCCCAGTTCCAGCCACCTGGGAGCAGGCTCAGTAGAGCCGCTGGAAACATGGCCGGGCACAGCCAGCTCTATTGGCCCAGAGGGGCCAGTGGCCTGTTTCACCATGAGGCTGCCTCATCTTTCTGCTTCCCCTCCACTCAGTCGCTTCAGAGAGTGTTGGACCACTTACTGAACAGCAGTCTGCTCAGTCCCCCCAGCTTGTCGCTCAGGATGCATTACTCCTGCCCAAGGACATGGCTGTGAAGGGCTTTCGCCTCGTGCGCTCCGTGGAGTGCTGTGGCGTAGCTGGAAGCCTCAGAAGCAAAACTTTGAAGAAGCTACCAGTTCTTTCCCCCGCTCATGTAGCACATGCTGTTCAGCAGCCGCCCTCCCCTGTGAGATGAATGGCTTGCAAAGGAACAGTTGAGGAGCTGGCATTGTGGAAGGGGCGGCAGGTGGCAAGCCCATAGTCAATGCCGAACATATTCTGTGAGGAAAGGATTAACCGCTTTTCTAATTCTCAGTTCCCTCCTCTTCTTTCCCCAGTATCCACAGTTGTTTACGGGCATTCTCTCTCCCTGGAAAGGACTGTTGCTCTATGGACCCCCAGGTACTGACTACACAGCTGCAGCGGTTTGTGAACCCACTCGTGCATTCACTTGGGGTGCGGTCCTGTCCATGCTGAGGCAGGAATAAAGCCAGAACGCCCCAGCTGGGGTATGCTGGAGGTTTAGGACTTCCCCTATCTGAACACGCGCAAGTTCACACACTTAGACGTCTGCCTGGGTTCATATGCTCTGGGGGAAGGCAGCCATAATATTGGTAGCAAAGGTGGGTTCTTCATCCGTGGTGAAGATGTTACGCAGCCCCACATGCTTGCAAGATGCTTGCTAGATTAGTTTCTAGGTGTGACCCTTTCCTCATACTGTGAGTGAGCTGCCTTCCATTTTCTTTGAAAGCAAACTTTTAAGAGTCACATCTATATGTGTGCATTACTAAGCAAAAGAGTGACCCATTCAACACTTTGTAAAACTGTTCCAAGTGCTGCAGTCGGAAGCAGCATGGAAAATAGGCAGTTACTGTTCTGCTCTCTCTATAGCTATCACCAGAGCCTGTTCTTGAACATAGGATTTAAGCCAGCAGCAGCATGCTTAAACCAAGCCCATCATCTCTGAAATACAATATCCATCATTCCCTATAATCTAAGCTTTTGTAGACCAGCTGCCAGCCAGTCTAGGCACTGTGTCTCTTTTCTTCAGAGGCCTTTAAAGATCATTTATTTCATGTAAGAAATGCACCATCATAACTTACCTGTTGCAGGTAATCTCAGCAATAGCTCTTGCCAGGGCTTCCATTTTTAGGGAAATTATTTAATTTTTTAAATCCCATCTATGATTTCTTTGCTATTTAATAACATTCCCCAGCTTTGGCTGTGGTATAGAAATGGAATTGATAATGAAATTATTGTTATGGAACATTTCTGATGAAAAAAGACCCTTTAAAAAGTCTTCATTGTGGGATTTTTAATGGGGTAAGCTTCTCTTTAGCAAGTTACTCAAGATATTTATTATGAGAACATAATACATGTACAACTTCCAAGTGGGAAGGTATCTAAATTAAGCTTGAGAGTAAATGCCTTCTTTCCTATCCATTGTAGGTACTGGAAAAACTTTGCTAGCTAAAGCCGTTGCCACTGAATGCAAGACAACCTTCTTTAACATCTCGGCTTCTACTATTGTCAGCAAATGGAGGGGTGATTCAGAAAAGCTTGTCAAAGTAAAAAATAGTTTTTGTTTTCTTTGTACACCAATGGGATTGAACAGCAAAGAATTATCGAATGAGATGGCCTAAGGAAGGGCTGAACACGAGACGAGCCCTGCTGGATGAGGCTGAGGGTCCATCTAGCCCCGTAATCTGTGGCCATGCAGGCAACTGCCTGTAGAAAACCCACAAGCAAAATACAAGTGCGGCAGCACCCTCTCATTCATGGTCCCCAGCAGCTGGCGTACGTAGATACACTGCCTCTGGTTGGGAGGTAGCTTATTTATTTATTATGTTTATAGCCCACCTTTTTTTCCATCAATAACCCAAGGTGGCTTACATAACCCTCCTCCCCATCTCATCCCTGCAACAACCCGGTGAGGTAGGTTAGGCTGAGAATCTGTGGTTGACCTAAAGTCGCCCAGGGAGTTTCATGGCTCAGTGGCAACTAGTACCGAGAATGCCAAAGTGCAACATCCTTCCTTCCTGGTATATGGCCATCCACACTAGTAACCACTGATAGCTTTCTTCTCCATGAATTTGTCCACTCCTTCTAAACCTGTCCAAATTGGTGGCCAGCACTGGATTTTTTTGGAAGCAGATTCCATAGTTCAACTGTGTACTGTGTGAAGAAGCACTTCCTTTCATCTGCCCTTAGTATCCCTCAACCAGCTTCATGGGATGTCCCTGTTGGGTTCTAGTAACTGGAGAGAGGGCAGAAAACATCTCCCTCTCCACTTTCTCAAGGCCACAAACCCTGTTGTCACAGTGAAGGAAACTTAGGAAGGTGAACTCCCCAGTCTACTGCAAACACTGGTCTTTCTAAGCTCTTGTGGGAATGCAGGACACAAAGAGAACCATCTGGTAGCCGCTGCCACAGCAGTCTTTGAGAGGACTGGACTCTCAGTATGTGATGCCATTAACTGCAAAGATTAAAGCTATAACTTCATGTCAATTCCAGAGTTTACTTCATTGTGCATTGTAATGCAGTCATCTTTAAGTCAGAAAATCAATAAAGCATGGTTCGGTAAGTGACAGCATGTCAGACCTTAACTCTTGTAAAGAAGAATTCTCTCTGTAGAAAAAAATCAGCCATCTTTTTTAAACAACCCTTCTGCCTCATTTTCTGTAGCGGGGGATTCTTCCCATATTGTGCTGGTCAGAGCAGCCCCTCACCCCATGTTTTAGTTCAGCCTAACTTTATTTTAAATTGTATTTCTTTCTCTCCTTTGTAATCCTTATTTAAAAATCTAATGGAGCAACAATACCAAAAAAAAAAAAAAAAAAAAAATCATGTTTTAATCTCTGGTTGCTGCTTTAGGATTTGCCCAGAATTCCTTTCTGGTATAATTGTCTTCTATCCTGTTATTTCCTATGTACTTGGATAGGATTTAGGAGGAAAAGATTTAAAACATAAAGACAGGATTATTTCTGTATGTTTGCTCTTTCTCTCCTCTTTTATAAGCCAAGCAGATTTAAGAAATGGCTTGTACTCTGATACCAAGCCAGTATTTCTAATATTTGTTTCCTGAATAGTCTTGTCTAGCATGCATTTATTTCTCTCAGAATATTAGCAACTGTGTAGCAGAGGACAAAATATATAGCACATAAATACAATTTTAAATTTATTTTATTCTATCAATAGTCCAGCCTCCTGTTCCAGGGTTTTGGGGTGACTTACGGTGATTTCATCATTATCCATCTCTGGGTAGCTTATAAAATCAAAACAAAATGACCTGAAGAAGCAAATGTAGAATCATAGAAAGCTGGAGTTGGAAGGAGCCAGAAGGCCCTGGGAGTCCTGTTCAGTCCCACTGAAACCACCCCTCTCAGATGGCTGTCTGGTTGCATCCTGAACGCCCCTAATGTGGGAGAGCCCACAACTTCCCTGGGTCACTGTTTCCATTGTCATACTGCTCCAACCGTCAGGAAGCTTTTCCCAGTATCTAGCTATAATCTGGCCTCCTGTAACTTGAGCCCATTATCATGTCCTGCACTTGCGATAATCAAAACGGGATCCTGCCCTCCTCCTCTGTGGCACCCCTTGCAAGTTCTTCTAGAGTGCTCTTCTATCTCTCCTCGAGACTGAACATGCCCTGTTCTTTCAGTCTCTCCTCGTAGGGGTTTGTTTCCAGACCTGCATCATCCTTGTTGCCCTCCTCTGAACCCTTCCCAACTTGTCTGCATCTTTCTTAAAGCGTGGTGCTCAGAAATGGACATCGTACTCCAGATGAGGCATAACCTGTGCTGAGTAAAGGGGAACCAGTACTTCCCAGAATTTGAAAGTGATGCTTCCTTTAATACTGCCTAAGATAGCATTTGTCATTTTTGCAACCTCATCACATTGTTGACTGATATAATCACTGCAGTCAGATTACATTAAATAGCAGAATCATACAGAAAGTGTCCATGTTTATTTTTATTAGTTTAGCATTTCTAAAAAATTCCAAAGTGAGAGCAAAAGAGGTCCCTGCCGAGAGGGACATTGACTTTTGTGTAAATATATTCTGTAGACGGCATCCAAACTTGGCCACCAACTTGGATGACTTTAAGCAGGGGTTTGGACAAATTCATGGTGGATAAGGCTACCCACAGCTGTCAGCAGCTGGAGAACACAAACAAGAGAGTGCATTTGTCCCCTGGTCCTGCCTGTGGGCCTCCCATGAGGACACCTCTTTGGCCATGTATGAACTGAATGCTGGACTAGATAGGCCTTGGTCTGTCCAACATGGCTGCTTTCAGGTTCTGGAAATACACAGGGCTGTTGCAAGTTGTCCAGCCTGCACCAGAAAGAACATAGTAACTGCATATTGACAGTTCCGGAGAACACTGTATTTCTTATCCATTCTTTTTAGGCAATACTTTCCCCCTGGCTGTTATCTTATTTGCCCTCACTGCAGTTTTAGGTTCTAAGCAGAAGAATTCATTAGTATGATACCTTGCACATATCCCACTGAAAGGACTAGAAGTATGCAAGACCATAGTACTGGGGGAGCATATAACACATGTGCAGGATGTCCCAGCGTTTTGTGTTTGCAAGGGATGAGGCAGACCTCCATGTGGGATCATGAAGCACTGCTGCCAGTTAGAGTAGACAGTGTGGGACCAGACCCAGGGAGGGGATGAGGCCTCCCTTGCCAGAAGTTGCTGGACAGCAGCTTCCCTCATTCCTTACCTCTAGCTGTGCTGCAAGGGTGCGCAGGAGTTTCTGTCCAGCAACATGATTGGTGCACTTCAAACAAAGGTACCAGCATATTTTCTGCTGGTCACTATCTTTTGGACAGTGGCTTGTCCCAGCAGCACAGCCTTCCCAACTTAGGGTAATCAAAGAGAAGAGCCATGCAAGCCAGTTCTGCCTCTCCTGACTTGCCTCCTCTTGGTCTCTCGTTTTCTGAACAGGTGTTATTTGAACTGGCCCGTTACCATGCCCCCTCCACAATCTTCCTGGATGAACTCGAGTCTGTCATGAGTCAGCGGGGCACTGCCTTAGGGTAACTGTTTTCAAGTGGCACATTCTTATCAGAATAACTAGAAATACAGTTAAATAGGGGTGGTGTTTCACTTTTCTGCCAGGTTGATCTTTTTGCCCAATGGCTTAGAAAGAACCCCACCAAAATTGCAAGTTGCAGCACTGGAGGAAATCTGTTGCTTCTATAAAGCCCACTCCTTTTCTGTCAGTGAACATTGCTTTCTGTGCCTGAATGTTTGGCTGTGCTCATAAAAGCACACCTGGCAGGCAGAGGTGTCTGGTACCCCTAACTAGGAGCAGGTACTGGACACACCTCTATTAGAAGGAGCAAGTGTTTGCACCTTTCGTTTCTATTAAAAATCGGGCTGTGATCTACTCTTTATTTGCATAATGCTGTTGAAATGTGCTGTTGGTCCTACCCTGGGAGGAAAACACAAGAAAGCGGAGAAGGGCTGCTTGGGGTACCTGGCCTAGGTAACCTCCTTCTAGGGTTCTCTCTGAGAAGTGGAGAAATACAGTTTCTGCTGGCTATTGACCAGCTTGGGCCAGTCTTCCCCAACCTAGTACTTTTTAGATGTTGTGAACTTCAGCTTCCGTTAACCCTGGTCATTGACTATGTTGGCTGGGTCTGCTGGAAGTTCAAGTCCGAACCATCCAGAGGGCATCAAATTGGGGAAGATTGGCATAGTCCCTTTCCTGTTAGAGGGATCCCCTGGGGAGCCCTCTGATGCATAGATAGCATTCAGATATACCTTTGTATCACTGACTTCATTTTTTTCTTTTTTGCTGTATCTGCTGTATTTTAAGAACTCAAAAGCAGAGTTCTGTTAAAACTGTTAAAAATACTGAGCAGCTGCATAACTAACATAAATCAAGAGGGAAAACTTTCCATGTGATGGAGATAAGCTTCCCCTTAGCAGCTGTTTAGAAGATGGAGGCTCCCTGCCTTTAAAAGGAAGGATCCTGAAGGCATTAAGTACTGAGTGTGGCGCTCTCATTCCTTTCCTCAGGCGGGTTGGATGAAATGGGCACATTCACTGAGATGCTTATGCAGTATGAGAAGTTCTTCCAGAGCTCGAGTGGACTTGATTACGTGCATTAGCTCGTGCCGTGTTCACTCTGATCCAGCCCAACAGAGCTGGCCCTAAATGAGGAAGGATTTTTGACTGCTTCCAGTATACGCATGGCCAATGGCTCAGATGCTCATAGTCCTCGCTATATGACGCACACAGGCACGTACACACGTACACTCTAAACTTGACAGCAATCATGCTTATGTTTTTTTAAGGTTGGGTCCTGCGAGCAAATGAGGCCTTTTTGCTGGAGATTAGAAATTTCCCCAACATTCAGCTTCTCTCCTAAGAACTGGATTCATGGCATTCTTTTTCATAGGAACATGGAAAGCTGCCGTATACCATGTCAGTCCATTTGGTTCTTTTAGTCCAGTATTCCATTCCAGGATGGAAGATACTGAGCAAATGCTGTCATGTTTGAATGTCCAAAGAGTGTCTTCAAAATGTTCAGATAGAAGGGTCATTTATGCATACCTCTGTCGCTCAAATGCAAATAATGAGTTGCTTTGATAATCAAAACATGGAGGCCTGCTGTGCTTTTTTCTTTATTGACTTGTATTCCCCTTCCCTGTATACAAGAAATGGCACTCAAGGCTGTCTTCATTGGGATGCATTACCAGACAGGCAAGGACACTGAGCTGTGGCCTGTTTCTCTTCTCTGCGATTATCTTGCATGATCCAACTGAAGGCTTAATAGCCTTCTCACTAAATGCCAGCTCTGGCATTTGTTCAGTGCCTCTGGTATTAATCTGTATGCACAGATAAAACTCTGGAAGGTGCATTTGCTTTCATTCTAGTCTTCTGATGAGTGGATTCATCATGGAATTAACTTTGGGGGATTCGCCATCATGAGGTTCGACAAAATGCTTAGGTTTTAGCCAAGGGAAGCAAGTGAGCCACTGTTGGAATTTGGGATGGGGTGGGGTAGAAGAGAGACACGAGTAGGTTTCTGTATCTGAGCTGCTCCCTAAAAGGGATTGTTCTGAAGACACCAGGGATAACATTTCCTCCTTCCCCTCTCCCCCAAATGCATCCTGGTAGTGGCGAACATGAAGGAAGCCGGCGGATGAAAACAGAATTATTGGTGCAGATGGATGGCCTGGCCCGATCAGATGATCTTGTCTTTGTTTTAGCGGCTTCCAACCTGCCCTGGTAAGAGATCCAGAGGGTACGCTTTGAATACATTTGCGTGAGCCTCTAAACACAGATAAAGATTTTACTTAGACCCAGAGTAGTAAAAGCCTTGATATTTGCTTAAAGCCTTCAAAGATTAATTGGGAGCTTTTTACTCTTTTTTTTTTTTGGTGCTTCTGTAGTTCCTGTTGTTGGTACCGCAAGAGCACATAATCCTTTGTAAAGTCAACATATGCCAGCAGGAGCCAGCTGCTAATATTTAAAAAGGGACTTGATAGCCAAGTTATTTATTATGGTTAAGCTAAAGAAGGTTTTCAGCAAAGAAACTCTTAAAGTGCTTAAAACATGCAGCGCTCAGAGAAGATATGCACTATAAATAGGGGAGGTTGGATTTTATTGGTATTAAAGGGTGACTTGTAAAAGTTTCAGGATTAAACCCTTCAGGTTTTTTAACAGCATGTATGGAGGTGGGGGAGGGAAATGGGGCATAGTGGAAAATACGTATTCTTTAGTACCTTCAGTTATTTTGTACTAGTTATGATTATAATTATTTGATTTCAATACCACCCAACAACCAAAGCTCTCTGGGTGGCTCACAAAGCAAACCCTGATTCATCTGGGCCTCAGCAAGTCTGGGATCACCCCCCACCCCCACCCATTCTCAATTCTGTTCCACCATTTCAGTGATTCCAAGGAAAATTTTTCCGACAGTCCACCTGGCAGGAAACAGCAAACCTGGAAACCTTTTGTCCAACAGCTCTCTGGAGCAGAGAACCCCGACCCGGCACCTTTGCTGTGTGCAGGACTACATAACATAGCTGGCTGGGGGATTCTGGGAGTTGTGGTCCAACACATGGGGCTGGCACTGAGTTGGGAACGCTGCTGCAGGAAGTGTGCTTATTCCTCTTCATAGGGAACTGGATTATGCCATGCTGCGCCGGCTGGAGAAGAGGATCCTAGTTGACCTCCCAAATAAGCAGGCCAGGCAGGCGATGGTTGAGCACTGGCTTCCCCCGGTGAGCAACACTGGAGGAGTGGCGCTGAGGACAGACCTGGACTACACCTTGCTCAGCCAGGTGAGGGAGCAGGTCAAGCTGCCCATTGCACAGGCCCGTGTTGGTTATGACCTATAAAGCCCTAAAGGGCTTGGGACCTGGATATCTAAAGGAACACTTGCGCCCATATATGCCCTCCCGCCCCTTGAGATCAGCAACGGATGCCCTTCTCCGGTAACCCTCCGTGAAAGAAATTAGGAGGGTGAGTACCCAGAGGAGGGCTTTCTCTGCGGTGGCGCCCGATCTATGGAATGCGCTCCCCAGAGAGGTCCGCCTGGCACCGTCATTATTTGTTTTTCGGCGCCAGGCTAAGATCTTTTTATTTAAAAGTTATTTTACTTTCTAAATTATTGTATTTATTAGGATTTTAAATTAGCCAAAAATGCACCGGGGGGGGGGGGTTAATTGGTTTTTTTTTTTGTATTTTTTGTGAGCCGCCCCGAGGCTTTGTTGTGATGGGGGCAGCATAGAAACGTTTTAAATAAATAAAATAAACTCTATCATCGGTGACATTCACAGGGGAAGATGACTCCCACACACAGGAGAAGTCTGTCGAGGGCTGAAGGATGCCCACATGGGGCGGCATAGAAATTTTTAAATAAATAAATAAAACCCCCAAGCTCAGAGGCAACAAGCTTCTAGTCAGCGGGGAGCCAGGACCAGGCGGTCCGATGGGGCTGTTGCCAGCTTGTGCTGCTGGGAGCTTGCTGGAGGCTTCTGCCATGTCCCTGACCCAGCTGGGCTCCTTCATGCTCTCTTGACGGGCTCTCTTGGAGCAGGGCAGCTGGCTGCAAACCCGCAGAAGCAAACCCATCTTCTCAAATGGCAAGGATCCAAGGAACTGCACAGCTGGTTCCATGGCCCCAAAGGCCCTTTCCAAAAGGGGATGCACTGCCCTAGCTTTCCCTCCGCCGCACAGCCTTCTGCGCGTACCCTGTGGCAAGCTGAGGGTTAGAGGCCGCTGTGGATGGGGCTGGGGGAAGCGGCCGAGCAGGTCCGCATGTCAAAGGGCAGCCCTGAAGAGCCAGGTGTGGAACACCAGGGCCCACCGTGCCGCACCCCTCCCCTCCTATCACCGTGGCCTCTGGCTGTGCTTTCTCTTCCCAGCTACCCATCACGTGCTTGACAGAGGGCTAGGCAGCAAGGGGCTGTGCACTGCCCCCCTCCCCAGCCAGGGCAAGCGGCTGGGAGCAAGCGACAGGGAAGAGCAGGAGCATGCCCAGGAACTCTGGTTGGTGGGTTGGGGCCCAGCCATGCCACCCTTGATGGCCGACCTGCTCCTGTGTCTGACAGATTCAGCTCCGTTGTATAAAGTGCATAGAAATGTAAGAAAATCCCTGCCCGATCAGACCCAGGGTCCATCCAGTTCAGCAGTCTGCACACAGTCTCTGGTGAAGGCGACCAGCAAGATTAGTAACCACTGGTAGCCTCCCTCATATATCTGTCTGTCCCTTTATAAAGCCATCCAGATTGGTGGCCATCACCACTTCCTGGGCAGCAAATTCCATAGTTTATGTTGTGTGAAGAAGTCCTTCCGTTCATTTGTCCTAAACCTCCCACTAATCAGCTTCATGGGATGACTCTGGGCTTGAGTGTTCTGGGAGAGGAAGTAAAATCTCTGCTTCTCCACTTATGGAGCTCATTGTATATAATATATACTCCTCATATATATATGAAAGGCAGTGTGGTGCAGTGGTTAAGAGTGTAGGACTGGGACTCAGGCGATCTGGGTTCTAGTCCCCACTCAGTCATGGAGTCCACTGGGTGACTTTGGGCCAGTCACAGACTCCCAGTCCAACCTACCCCACAGGGTTGTTGCTGTGGGGATAAGATTCAGAGCAGGAGGAGGAGAATTATGTAAGCCGCATTGAGTTGATTGTCTGAAAAAGGTGGGATAGAAATTTAATAAATAAATACTGTAGTTAATCACTATATAGTCCCTTCTTCCTACCCCCAAAATCTCACCTGACTTAGAGGACAGTCATCTGCATATTAGTGACACCTCACTCTAACTCCTGACCACCTCCAGCTGCTTCATATAGACATGAAAAGCACCATTTTTCACCTGGCAGCTGCATTTTGAACTAGGTGCAGTTTTCAGAGGTCTCCACATATGCAACGTATTGCTGACCGGGACCTTGCCAGAGCAAGGATTGCTGGTCAGGATGTCTTTCTCCCATAGGGACGAGAGATGGCTGCAGCACCATGTTCCAGGGGCCTGGGAATTTCCTGAAAACATTTCAATAGTTCCATTTCTGAAAATCAGCTGTCCCCGGCTGGGAGACTGACCAGGAGCATCCATCTGTGGCACTTGGGGTTGCTTAGAATGAGAGGCACATGCAATCGTTACTTAAGCTAGAACAGCCCATCCCCTGACATTGTATCAGTGGGACAACTGCCGGAAAGAGGCAGGAAACCTAGGCCAGTAACAGGAGTGCCTAGCCAGGGTTTTGTAGTCAGGATGGTCCATTTCCTTCATTTGAATAGGGTGACAATTGGAAAAAAGTGCAATAAGAGGGAGACCCATTTTCTAAATGTAAGACTCATACAGGGGACAATTCCCCAATACCTCAGACACCCATTCTGCTAAACACTGGCTTTGTGGCTGTATGCAGTGGGAAGGAAGGTTCTGCTGACCAAGCCGTGCATTTGTGATTATATACTAGGAGATGGAAGGCTATTCGGGATCTGACGTTAAGCTGGTCTGCAAAGAAGCTGCGATGCGTCCCATGAGAAAAATCTTCAGTGCCCTTGAAAATCACCAGCCAGGTGCAGTAACCTTTCTGTCGAGAGTGCTGGAGTGGCAGGGTAGGGTGTGAGGGTCAACGATGGACTGTACGGATGTATGAATATGCCAGAAGGTGGCAGCGTTCAGTTTCCTGAGAGTCATATAATTTTGATTTGTGAGGAATAGTTATTCTTCTCACCTTCTTGATAAGTGAAGAAAATAGCAGCACCAGTCTCATACTTTTACAGATTTGTGGTGCAGTTACACTTGGAATATTGTATACAGTTCTGGTCACCACGGCTAAAAAAAGGAATTAAAAAAAAAAAAATTGGAAAAAAGGGCAAAAAGGGGCAGCTAATGATTAAGGGGTGCATGAGCTCTCCTACAAGGAAGGTTACCACACCTGGGATTGCTTAGCTTAGAAAAGGCAAGTGAAGGAGAGGTATACAAAATAATGCATGGACAGAGGCGGTGGAGGAGGAGATGCTTTCTCCCTATCCCATAATACCAGAACTCCGAATCATCCTGTGAAGCTGACTGGCTGGAGATTCCAGACAGATTAAAGGAGGGCTTCCTTCTCAGTGCATGCTTAAACTGGATTTCACTTCAACAGGATGCAGTCATGGCCATCAGCTTTAAAAGGAGACTGGCCAAATTCAGAGGGGGCAAAGCTATTTATTGAAGGTGACTTGTCCCGATGGCTAGATATTACCTCCGTATCAGAGGCGGTGTGCCCATGTATTCCAGCGGCTGGGGAACATGGATGGGAGGGCATTGTTGTGTTTGTGGTTTCCTGTGGGCAGCTGCTTGGCCCTCGTGTGAACAGCATCCTGGGCGAGATTGATTCCACACATGTTCTTGAGTCAGTATCAGCATGAATTATATCATTGGAAAACCCTCCTTCTCCCTCTGGTCACATTCACTGCAGCGTTAAACGCATGACAAAACTTGTTAGTCCTCATAAAAGCCTTCTCCAATCTAGTGTCCTCCGGACGTGTTGCAGCGAGTCTCCCAGCATTCTCAGCCAGTACTGATCATGCTAGCCGGGAGTGCTGGCAGTTTCACTCCAATGCATCTTGTGGGGTAGAGGACTACATGGATAACGTCTACTTTCTAGTGTGCCAAAAGACAAAATTTTTATGGGGGTGGGGGTGTTAATATAAGCGGCCGATAGAACAATCCCTCTGAAATCGCCACTATTCATCACTCAAAAACAGATCTTTTTTTCCATTGCCACATGCATATAATAATTTAACTTTTACAAGGTTCTCAAATACTGAAACTGCTTTGCAGACCTTGCTAACCATCCTTACAAAAGCCTTGAAGACAGTCCCAGGCTGGGCAGTTGCAGACCGAGGTGGATCTTCGCTGCCAGTCCTTAGAATGCATCTCTGCACCAGCAGCAGCATCGACCGCCAAGTGGCGATTGAGGGAAAAGGCTTTTGCAGTGTGGGATAGACTGGATGGTGACCAGAGGTGTGCTGGAAGGAGCTCTGCTCCGCCAGTAGCCATATCATCATTTTGGCAGCACACCAAATTTTCTGAGTGGCGACAGCTAAAATAGGTAGCCCAGTTTTGCTAAACAGGGCAGCAAAATCTGTCAACTTTCTTTCTCCAGACAAGGGGAACTTACCTGTAATTGAGCTGGATGTTGTTACAACTGAAGACTTCCTGGATGTGATCGCTCACACGAAGCCCTCTGCTAAGAATTTAAGCCAAAAATATACTGACTGGCAAAAAGAATTTGAGTCTGTCTGAGCTGCACTTAGGTTTTGAAACCTTAAGTCAAGATTTGAACCATCCCCCACAAAAGGCCATTGTAGCAAATTCCTGTGAGCAAGGGGCTGAATTTGTATATTAAAGCAATTTATTTTTACTTGCAAAGACAACATCAGGAGAAACTGAACAGACCCTTCTCAGAGACGTGTGCTAATTTTTATTTGGGGAACCCTTCTCCAGCTGGAAGCCCTCCATTAAGATACAAGAACATTTTTGCACTAGATGTTAACATTAAAAAAAAATCAGCAATTTTAGTATGTACTCATCCAACTGACATCTCCAATCCACCTTACAGACTGGCCATACAAGCATTTTGCTACTAAAGTGTTCCTTCTTGAAACAGCAAAGGCACTTTTGCAATACTGGACGTCATAGATAGTTAGTTGGACTTGCCAAGGATCTTTGTAACAATCCAAGACTAACAACGATGAAGAATAAATGGTTTGGTTCCCTCTCAGGGAAGTGTCTTGAGATCTTACTTACTTGAACATAAGTTTGTTCCCCTTGCCTCAGTCATTTAGCCATTTTAGGTAGAGTTTTCTAAGTCTGTTTTCCTTGTGTGGAGTAACTGCTGCAGTCTTAGGGCCAAACTATGTAGAACATGAGTAGCATCTCTCAACAGTTTGGTGTATAATGGAGCTACAGGGGCTCCAGATATGAGCAGGGCAGGGAATGTTAAAAAGTAATGTAACTGTGCGTTTGTGTAGAGGTGTATATATCAGCATTTGTCTGCGGATTAGCCACAGAAGAAGGAAAGCAATCTTTCCAAAAAGCATCAGGCTCAAAATAAAATCAGCCACTTTTTGATAATTTCTTCACTCCCATTTGTTTTCTCTTGATTTCAACAGGCTAAAATTTTGCCTTGCATCTGAAATCATTGAGAATTAAGTAACACTTGAGCTAAATGGTTGTGCTTGTTTTATAAGGTGATTTCTGATCAGCATTCCCAGTCTTGTTTTATTTATTGATCACAGCCTTCCCCAACAAGTTGCCCTGCAGATGTATCATCCCCAACCAGCAGAGCCAGTGACCTTGCTAGCTGGGGATAATGGGACCTGGTATCCAGCATGCCTAGAGGGCACCATGTCAAGATAGGTTGTCGTGTAGTAATCCCGGTGTTTTTTGCTTCTAAGAAAGAGGGGCATTTTCTTTCAGTAAAGCCAAGACTGCAATTACACTCTAATAATTTAACACTCAGGAGCATTCTAAAGTAATCACAAAGGGCTCCCATTCTTACAGTTCTGCAAATGGACCTAAAAAGCCATTTATTGCCATTACAAAAGTTAGTTCATTTTGGTGCAGTTAACATGTGCAGGAAGGGATGGGGTTTGGTTCAAATTTGCAATTTCATTTTACAAACGCACTAACAAAACCCCATAAAAGTGGAGAATGTGTCCCTATGGTTTCTGAAGGATTCCTCCCTCCACCTACATCTTGTGTAAGAAAAGGGGTGGCAACACCCCCAACCCAATAAAACCTTGCAGCTGTCAAGTTAACAGGGCCCTGGTGGCATCTAACTTCAGGCGTTCATGGTCTAGAGCCATTATGGACCAGATCTTTGCTTCCAAGCCATTCCTGTTAATAACCCCGCCTAAGTAAAACATCTGTAAAACTCTGATAGCTTTAATTTTTATATAAAATTTGAAAAACAACCCAGCTCCATATTAATAGACTAGTAGAAAATTGGCCAGGAATACATTTATGACTGTTCTCAGTTAAGAACCACTGCTTAAGCTACAGCTTCTCTGCATTTAAATTGGTTTGAGAGTGAGGAAGCGTAACCTAAACAGAATCCCTTGTTGTTTTTATGAAAAAAGGTCTTAATGAAGCATCTTTCATTTTTCTGTTTGCTTGAAAATAAAAATTGGTACCATAAAACGCTGAACTGAGGTTTATCAGCAATCAAGAGGTTCCTTTCAGGTAAGCAGGGAATCAGGTTGTTTTGACTGCATGTTTGGTGCTGGTAAAACCACACAAAGAGAGTAACTGCCCAGAGCAGCCTTGTTCCCATTTACCTATTACCAGCTTCAGGTAGTCTAGGCATGGATTTCTCCTGATCCCAGATCCTCCATGAGTTGCAGACACAACACCCTACAACAAGGGATTTTTACCCCCTTTTAACCTATGATGGGGCTTACTGACTTGAACGTGTTTTTAAGATAAATTTCACCTTTAGTAAGCCTCTGCACCAGAGATGCAGGGTTCCTGAGGACAGCTCTAGCTTGTTTTACAACTAAATTTGCACTTGGCAAGCCTCTAAAACAGCAACCACTGGTGTTTGTATTACTTTTTCTGGACATGTTACCCACCCCTGCAGTAACAGCATGATGTTCATGTTAGGCCCTTTCTGGCAGAGACAGCTCTGGTCAAGAGGAAACATTAGTCCTGGTAGAATCCATTCTAACACCTTACTTCCTTGGATAGTCTGAAGCAAATCTGCATTAACCTCCTTTGTTGTGTGGAAAAAGAAGAAATATAGGCTTGTTTACCACTTGGGCTGAGGCAGAAGATGCAGAAAGTTTATGGGGGAGATATCAGGCAGTTGCAAGGGCAATTGCTGTAATGTTTGCAGAATCCTGCACAGAATTGCATCCTAAATCTCTTGGCCTATTTCCTCTAGATAATTTGTTTTTTAAATCTGATCAGTTTCATCATCTTTCACCTAATGTAAGAAATAAATCTTTTTATTGGCTGTTGAAAAGCAAATGCCATTCTGTGTAGCATTTGGTTTGGCATTTTCCACAGAAATCTTGAAAACATTAGTATTTGTTGACACCAACCTGGCCTGGATAAGACACCCTTGCATTCCCTGCACATATAAACAAGGACAGATGGTTTAGGCTAATGTCACTGTATAGTATCAATTCTTCCTGATCACGAATAAGCTGCAATTGTCATATTTTAAGAGCAAAGAAAAAAGACTCAAACAACAGATTATTCCTTCCCCTACTTTATTAGCTTATTACTTTGGGGAAATGCCTAGCTAGTTTGAGATGTTTTCATTAGATCTATGCCTTCCCAGCCAGACACACTTCCAGATAGTCAATTCTTCTTGAGTTCTTCATTTTTATTGGCTTCAGCCATGTGACACCCCAGATGCGGCATTGCTCAACTATTACAGTCTAAGGTAGGGGCAGGATGGATCTAACCCCACATGGCATTTTTTAAAAACACATTTATTTATTTATTGCTTGCTTGCATATGCTGTCCTATTATGCAAGATCTCAGGACAGCTTACAATATAGAAAAAGACAATTAAAACAACCATTTCAATAAATAATAAAACAGAACAAAACAATAAATCACAAAACAAACAGAGCAACTAAACTTAAAAACTATTAAAGTTTAAAATACTGTTTAAAATCCTGCCCCTCCCCCACCAGATTTGTTGTGGAAGTGCCAGTGACAAAAAGTCGACAAATTTGTACTTGCAAAGCCAAAGTACATGCCAGGCAGTCTCCCACATGTGTGATTCCATTTGCAAACCATGCAACCAATCCACACACATCTAAGTGTCTTGTAAAATTAGTACAGTTTTTTTGGCACTGGCACTGCAAATTCAGTAGCATTTTCTGCGGCAGAGGTGAAGTGCGAACCTCATTGGGTTCTGGGGAGGCAATGTGGACCACCAACCTCCAGAATTTGCTCAGTCTTGCTCTAGGGCTTAACTGGAGCCAGGATACTCTGCCCCCAGCTACTGTTTCAGATGTGTGGGCTCAATCCTGCAGAGCATTTTTTAAAAGGACACCGTTTCCATCACTGCTGACCATAAAATGCCCACAAAGCAGGGGGCAGAGGGTGTTTCTTACCAGACAGCACTGAGGCCCTGATTCCCCCCGCCCCCCACAACCCCCAAAGCACTTAAGCACAGCTGGGAGCCAGTTGGAAGTTGTACTAACATCGCACCAGGCTCTGGAACTACTTTCTGCTTTGGAAGCAAGATTACTATCCTTAAAACAGTTCGGCTTCACAAATTAGACCCACACGGAAGCTCACAAATGGAGACAGACAAACCTGCATTTTCTCAACCTTTTATTGCATTTCTAGACATATGCATGTTAGATGGCTGAACTTGCTCCTACGGGAACTTCCTCTCCCTCCCACCCCACTGTTCAATACAGAAACCCGCTCTGAAGAGATGTCAGCTCTCACTTCCTGTGAAAGAACTGGACGAATGCACCAGCCCCAAAGCTGTTTCAGTGGTACTGTGGCCAGGGAGAGGCACAACCTGGCTGTGGCAGCAGGCCAAACTTGGTCATCTTTCCTCCTTTTCCATCTTTCCTGCAACAGGGTTGCAGTAGGAACTGAATGGTTCCATTCTGTGAAAGCTGGAAATCTCATGTTAAAAAAACCCACGACTGCCATTTCTCTGCATATAGCAAACTAGCATGCCAAGGCCAGGCTAGCACTTCCCTTGTTGGCATGCTAGTTTTCTATGTGCAGGGAGCTATGTATACAGGGAGAGCATTCCAATGGTCTCCCTACATTCAGCCCAAAGCAGTGCAGTCCAGCAAGGCTGTTGACCAGCCAGCACGGCCTGTGAAAGTTGTTACTGCATGTTCATCTTTGAGCATTCAAAGCTGGTGCTCAAATTCTGTAGGATTTCTTTTTACAGCAGATGCTGGAGAATGTGGTCTACGGCATGGGGGAAGCTCTCGCAGGTTAAATATGGAGGCGGGTTAATTTTGCCTTCATCAGCCGCTCGATACTTCCCTACAGCAAAAGCAAAAAGAAAATACTACTTTTTAAAGCTCAGTTAGTCTCAGCTTAACGTTTTTCCAGAAATCTACGCAGAGAATGCACAATGCATGCCCAGATTAAGCATTGTCCTTACCCACTACCATAAATACCTATAGATCCCCAATCCCCTTCCCCCATCACACCAGTTTTGTTGTTTCTGAAGCCTAAAAGCGACAGGTCCTCCCTAGCAACACGAGCTATTGTACAGTGCAACAGATACCCCCAAGAGGCTGTGAATGGCCCTTTGCTGGAGCGGCCTCAGCAGTGGCTGGGCCACAAGATGACTGGAATGCTGTAGTTCATCTTGCACTGCAGATCCTGCCTTCAGCTAGATGACCTCCAAGGTCCCTCCAACCCTGTGTTTCTATGAAAAGATTCTTTCTGTCCACGTCCTCCACATCATGTATAATTATAAAATCCGTACAATTTCCCTGCTTAGCCAACCTTCTCCATCTCCCATAGCGAATCCTGCACCCTAAAGCATTAATTTATTTCTCAAAGGGAAATGGTTCTAGTCAGTTGTCTGCTTTGAGCTCTGGAGAGAAAAGAGAGCAGGAAGAGAAGGTGAATTAAGCAGTGGCTCTTCAAATGCCCAGAAATGCAAGGAAACAAAAGGCACTTACCAGTCTTGACCAATATTCCCAGCATGCCAGCATTCTGGGCACCCCCGATATCATCCCTGCAGTCCTGTGGGGCACAGGGAGACCAAAAGCTAGCCTAGAGGAGCCTGCCAGAGAGTGGATCTCCAAACAACATTTCCTGGGGACTACAGAGTCTGGCCTCGCCCATCACTTGGAGAGGCTGCCCCTGCTGACTCCCCGGATAAAGATGACAACAGGGGGGAGAGCAACCTCACTGCATACATTGGAGAGGGACCGAGGGAGCTGCGTCGCCTTTCCCTGTCAGGAAGAAGACCTTTGAAACTAATAACCGGTGTCTGAATTTCCCTTTTTTCCTCCTCCCACCCAATCCCCTTTCCTTTCTTGCCGTGTCTTTTCGCCTATAAGCCTGAGATCTGGGCTGGCCACATTATTAATCTGGGGGCTGCTTTGGGCCGAACACTGGGGTAAAAGGGCTGTGAATGTAAACAAGTCAAGCACTCACGTCACCAATCATGACCGCCTCCTCTGGGGTGCAGCCAGTACCGCGAAGGGCTTCCAGGAAGAAGGTTTGCTCAGGCTTCCCCACCACGGTCGCTTTCACATCGGTGGCGTATTCGAGGCCGGTAACGAACGGTCCAGGACCGAGCGCTAGGCCATCTTTCCTCTTGTAGTATCTCGCTTTGTGTATGGCTATGAGTGGGGCACCATCAAGGATGAGCCTTACAAAAAGGAGGGGAAAAGAGGAATGCAAGTGACCCCAAAGTCCAAGAGAAAGCAAAAGTACTGAAAGCAAAAGCACGCGATACAGCAGCTCTTCCCAAAACCGTGAGAGCCTTGCCATTCCAGGAGTGTGCGGAAGTCAAAACCTGGGGGACACACTTAGGATTTGATTTTCATTTAATGGCCATATTTATAAGACTGTCCCTTACTGCTTATTCTCTGATTTATATAACAGAGAATAAAATACAATGTGGTATTTCATATATAGCAAGGCCAGGAAAATATAGCCTTCTTCGGCTGGGGAGAAAGAAGAGCAGTCCTAAAACTTTACAAAATCCCAAGACATCGAAAAGGCCTGGGTGCATATGAAGGTGTTCCTCTGGCACTGGAAGGAAGAATTAGAAGGCATCCGATGAGCCCCTCTGGGGAGGCTGTTCCACAGCGCGGGTGCCACCACCGAGACGGCCTTGCCCCAGTGGCACACATCTCGCTCCACCCAGCAAGGGCACGTGGAGTGCTGAGGAAGCCCTTGGAATGCCTTCTTGGGTGTCCCTCCTGTGCCCCTAGGCCTTCCTCGCAAGCATGGGGGCAGCAGCAGTGTCTCAGGCAGCACCAAGCAACCCTCAGTGGGGTTCTAGTAGCTACTATTTTAGTTCTCCCGTTACAGTACGCCTTTGCACTCCCTTCACAGTGGCTGTTCCCAGACTAGTACTGAGCTCCAACATATTTTTCACAATGGCCCAACAGGGCATAGCTCCTGGGCATGGTATGAATACAAAATACCATTAACTGTTTCGTTTCTGAATTGTATGCTGTTCTAGCATTTGTAAACCACCCAGAGAACCTTTGGGTTATGGGGCAGCATAGAAGTAATAATATATAAGTAAGTAAGTAAGTAAATGGCAGATCCCAGCAGGTGTCCCCATAATAAGCCACCATGCTACATCAAGGAGATTTTAAATGTTCTTCCAGGCCCCCACAATGCCAAGAAGCTAAGCTATGTTGCAGCAAATTAAAATGGCAGCAGGACAAAATGTTTAAGAGGAACCCAAGGCAGGCATCTGGGAGCATCTGCCCAGATGTTGCATTACACCCCTGCTTCATTCATCAGATCACATGGGCTTATTCCCCAGGAACACCAGTCCTTTTGCCAAACTACCTGCTGGCCTCTGTATTTATTTATATCCCAATAAACTCAAAGTGGGTTACATCATTTTCCTCCTGCTCTCAATCTTATCCACACCTCAACAACCCTGTGAGGCAGGCTGGGCTGAGAGTTATTTTTCCAATCTTCAGTTGTTGGACATTTCGCTTTTTCCATTTGGAAGCAACTGCAATTCTTGCTGGAGTTGTCATGTATTTAAAGAGCTCTGACATATTTTTTGAACAAAGGCAAGCTGGCTTTCAAGGAGGAATTGTGTGTTAGGAATGATTCTGGCAACCGTCAAAAGCCAGAACTTGCCCAGCGCCTCTTGCATGCCTTCTTTTCACTTCTATGTGCCTCAGCAGGAAAATTTCTTAAGGGAATTTTAATCAGCAGTTCCTTCCTTAGAGCCCAGAGTGTCACTGACTTTTAAACTGCATGGCTTTCCCACACAAGGTAACCTCTGGGAACCCCCTTGCACCTACAATCCCCAGAACCTGGCACTGTAATCCCTGTACTGCACACCCACCCAACGGAAAGCATCTTTGCCGGCCCAGTAACCGCTCAGATTCCATGCAACCTACTGGCAACAGCAGCTACCACTTGCTGTCCAAGTAGTTCACATCAACATCTTTGCACCTGAGCATCAGGACAGGGAGAGCATGGTGCTTCAAACTGGAAGGATTCCACCAAGCCCTGTTTCTCAGCTGCTTCAGTCCTCCCAGCAGCAACACCGTCGAGTGAATATTTCATGCAGTCCTCAAGAGCTAAGTCAGCATGCACCCAAAAGCATTTACTCCCACCCCAATGAGGACGGGAGCATGAAGGCTCTTGCAAAAACCAGGGTCGAATTACCCCTCCTCACCGAAAGGCCTTGTTCATCATTTGGTAATTGAAGTGGTCAGGAGCCAGCCCGATCACCACGGCATTGGGCTCACTGGTCTCAATCCCTGAAAGAGAGGAAAGGAGAACTGCCTTACCCCGGAGTAACTTAGCCCATGCTTAACTATAATAGCAAAACTGATTTTCAGAGAAGCTTTGGGGTAGCTAACATTCAGATCACCTGACAAAAGCCTTTTGCATCTGCTGGTGAACTTCAACAGTTTGGGCATATTTTAATTTCACTGTTTAGGAATTTTCCTATCTTTGCACTATTTTTTCACTATAAAAGGACAAAGGATGCTGCTGCTCTCCTGCAATGCTGCAAGGGACATTTGTCAGCTTCTAGGTTTGGGGCTGAGGATCATTAAGGGCGTGGCCCGAAGAATGGTGCTTGAATGGCTTCAAATTAAGGCCAACCTAGACCTTATCACAGGCCAGCTAGATTCCTTTTTTTAAGGGTACGGGGTTCCATCCCAGTGCCCGCCCCGCAGTGTTCTTGTGAATGTGTGTGGTGTAGAGTGGGGGAGAATTGGCCTGCAGGAGGGTGATGCTTAAGCTTCCCCCACTGCACAGCATTTGTCACCTTGTGGATGCTCTTAGGACCTTTTTAAGGGTCCCCCCGCCCCAGCTGATGCCATGAAATCAGAAGTCAGCTGGAAGAACAACAGCTCAGGTTGGGCATTTGTGAATTGGTCATCTTATTTGTCTCTTGAGAAACCTATATGCGGGTCAAGAAGCAACAGTGAGAACTGGACACGGAACCACTGATCGGTTCAACATTGAGAAAGGAGTTCGGCAAGGTTGTATACTGTCGCCCTGCCTATTTAACTTATATGCAGAGCACATCATGAGAAAGGCGGGGCTAGATGAATCTCCAGTTGTAATTAAGATTGCTGGGAGAAATATCAACAGCCTCAGATATGTAGATAATACCACTCTAATGGCAGAAAGTGAAGAGGAACTAAAGAGCCTCTTGATGCGGGTGAAGGAGGAGAGCGCAAAAGTTGGCTTGAAACTCAACATTAAGAAAACTAAGATCATGGCATCTGGTCCTCTCACTTCCTGGCAAATAGATGGGGAAGAAAAGGAGGTAGTGACAGATTTTATTTTCCTGGGCTCCAAGATCACCGCAGACAGGGACTGCAGCCAAAAAATTAAAAGACGCTTGCTTCTGGGGAGGAAAGCTATGGCAAATCTAGACAGCACACTAAAAAGCAGAGACATCACCCTGCCAACAAAAGTGCGTATCGTCAAGGCTATGGTTTTCCCAGTTGCAATGTATGGCTGTGAAAGCCGGACCACAAGGAAGGCTGAGCGCAAAAGCATTGAGGCCTTTGAATTGTGGTGCTGGAGGAGACTCCTGCGAGTCCCTTGGACCACAAGGTGATCAAACCAGTCAGTCCTAGAGGAGATCAACCCTGACTGCTCTTTAGAAGGCCAGATCCTGAAGATGAAACTCAAATACTTTGGCCACCTAATGAGAAGGAAGGACTCCCTGGAGAAGACCCTGATGCTGGGAACAATAGATGGCAAAAGAAGGAGGGGACGGCAGAGGATGAGGTGGCTGGATGGAGTCACTGGGGCAGTCGGTGTGAGCTTGGGTGGACTCCGGGGGATGGTGGACAGGAGGGCCTGGAGGAATGTTGTCCATGGGATCACAATGGGTCGGACAACAACAACAACAACATGCTGGAAAGGTTGAGCACCTTCCATGCGCCCTCTGGGGATGCCAGACTGGTCAAGGTAACATTTAATTTGGTCCTCTGGGCTATTTAGGCCCAGTGAATTCCCCTGAAAGGGCAGAGGACAAAATCCATTCAGACATTATGAAATGCAAAAATAAAAATGCTGAAACACTTCACGAGTGTGGAGATACAATAAATGCATAAAATCCATGCTGAAGTATTTATTTTGCAACATTCCCTGGGAGCATCTGGGTCCATTAACCAAAGGATGGATTATGCTCATCCAGCTGCGAGGAACCTTAAACGAAGATTATCCAAGAATAATTCCATAGTAGTTACTAACAGGAGCTTAAACATCTTTCAGCGTACTTAAACTACTGGAAACTGGAGGAAAAACTACATATGAAAGGGAGGGAATGTCATGACCCACTGAAATCAACATCTGGTTTATCTAAACTCAGGAACTGAACTGATTTAACTAAATTTATAAATTCCTGGGCCACATTAAGATGTTTTAATGTCAAATATACTGAAGTGGGACAGGATGGAAAATGTGCAAAGTAGACACTTGCGAAACACACATCCTGATTGGATGCCAGAATTTTGCAAGTGCAGGAAGCTCTGTGGTTACAGCTCTTCCAAAACCACAAGTTAAGCTTCTCGAAAGGCAACGAAGGCAGAAGAGTGTGAAATCCTTCATTAAGTTTTAAATAAAGCAAACAAACGATGCAGCCATTTCATCATGGATGTATGGGCTTTATGGATGGTACAGAATTTACTGAATGAAGCAAACAGGCCATTAAGTGCTCGGAATCTAAGTGTATGGGCTTGTGTGCTCCAGTTTAATTAAAGTCTGCAGTACAGAAAACTAATTCTGCCCAAGTGCTGTAATGCTCCCTTGCACTTCATACAGAAAGCAAACAGGGGCCACCAGTCCTGTATCATGTCCCCCTAGCTTCTTGCTCCCCTCCCAGATTTGTGCAGCCCCAGGAGCATCCGCCCTGCTGGATAAGAGCAAAGGCCTATTTACCTGTGCATCCTGTCACCTGCGCCCAGTGACCCATGACACATCTGCCTGGGCTCCCGTTTCCCAGGGCCACTGCTCCCACCCTTTCCTTCACATCACTGAGACATAACCTTCTGCATCTTTATGCCCTGTTCTCCTGTTTTTTCCAAAACAAGACCCCCCCCCACCCTCCAGTGGGAGGCCTGAACATTGTGACCTTAGTGTGTTTCCGTTATGGGTGTAACCTGCCCAGAGAGCGTTATGGCTAATGGGGCGGGTTAGAAACTTAATAAATAAATTAAGAAAAGAAAGAAAACTTTGTCTATACCTCCAAAACCCAAGCAACCCTTTGGCAAAAAGTAAGAAATATTTATTTATTAAATTTCTATGCTGCCCATTAGCCATGGCTCATATGACCCGTTCTTCAAAAGAAGAAAGAGTCACAATAGTGATGCATTGCAGGGAAATGTACTTTGACAACTTCAGTCATCTGAGGAATCTACAGCATGGATGCTGATTGCAAGTTTTGCCGTTTGTATTGGCCACACCGTGAATGCGAGCCCACACCTCCATTGGAGGATTATCGCTTCCATCCGTATTTTCCCCAACACTCTTACAGCCTGGGGGAAAAGGGAAAAAAGCTGGGTGCGGAAACAGCAAAAGGACTCCTGTGCATCCATGCAAAGCTAGATCCTTTTGTGAAAATCAATTATAATTGTTGGTTGGCTAATTGTCGAAGTAAAACCAAATCCTAATAAGACTGCCTGCATAAAAGATCTTGGGTGTTCTTCGGTTTATCTGAGTCTTGTTCAAAGGGGAACGTGTAGGGCAAAGGGAGGGACATGTTTCTGTGACCCACCAGATGTGGGCACTTCATCAGTATCACCAACATTTGGGGATAATGGCCATTGCAGTCCAACAGTACCTCAAGATCCTCAGGTTCCCCAAGTGAGAAAGGGAACCTCCACACCACTCTGGGTGGGCTTGCTCCTGTCACAAATGGACTCCCGCTCTTTCATCACCAGAGCAAAGAGGCATACCTTTGAAGTCACGGAGTGCGTTGTCTTCCACCAGCAGCAGCGGCCTGACCGCCTTCTGCTGTAAGAGATTCCTGGCTGCTGTCAGTGACGTGAAGATCTCATCTTCTGTAATGTCGAACTCAAGTTTCGCCAGCCTCTCCAGCAAGTCTTGCTTGCACTCCTTCGTAGTGTTGGTCACAAATCTGATGCTCACGGGAGCACTGCGCAGCCTTGTCCAGTGAAAGGAGGAGAGGAGGAAGGTAAGGCAGTGCCCTTTTTACGCAGAAAAATACAATCTTGTTCTCATATTTGATTGCATAACACTAATAGGGCTGCCAGGTTCAGATGCTAGGAAAACACCTGTGCTTTCACATGGTGAACAAAAAGGAAAATTCCACCAGGCTATAAGAAAGTTTCCCTGCCTACAACTGGATTTTTCAGGGTCTGCAAAAAGAGAAGGCTGCGATTTGAAACTGGATCACAGTCTGCATGTACAAGCTTCATGAGAGCAATCAATGGTGTGAATTCCACCTCCAAGAGAGGTTTGCCAGTGTGGAGGGCTCCTCTAAAGCTGCAAGGAAAAGCTGCAATGGGCGAGAAACCCCCTGACACAGTAGTCACCAGGCTGGTTGAACAACAGGGGTGTTAAACCTGTCATAGCCTCGAGGCCCAAATTCCATGTCCAAGAAGCTCTGGGAGCTGCATTCCACTCCGGTGGCAAAGCAGGTTGGCCCAAAATAGCAGCCTATTTCATCGTAAAGCTCTTATTGCCAGAGACATTTCAACCTTTTAAAACTGCACAAAACAGCAGAAAGGCAGAAAACCAACCAAGAATCGGGGGCTGGACCAAAGGGGGTATGAACCTCTGTGGAACCCCAGGCAGAAGCAGGGAGAACCTCAGCTCCCAGGGTTGCAACTGAGGTTTTGCATCCTATCACATGAGATTCATGAATGCCCTTGCATGCAAAAGCTCCTTCTTGGCGAATTGGCTGTCCCTGAGAAAATGGGACCTTCACGAGCTTGTCTTTCTTTGTGCTACATGGAAGAAATAACATGCCTTTTAAGAGCTTCCTGGGCCCCAGGGACGGCTGAGTCTTCAATGTGAAGTGTGCCACTGAGATCCACCAAGACAGCTTTTAGCGCACGCCGAGTTGCCATCCTTTGCCACAGAGAGAACGCAGCAGCAGAAACACAGGGAAAAAACCATCAAACAACAAACCAGTTAGCTAACAATGAGCCTTTTTTAAAAAGGACGCTCTATCACATAGCCCATTTGTGTCAAACCCGCTAATATTTAGAGTATTACCCAGTGTACTAAATGAGCCCCCCTAGACAGAGAAATAGGAGGCAGCAGGAAAGATATATGCATAATTGATAAAGCTAGATTTTCTCCAATTCAATATATATAGAACTTATCTTGCGTGTTTTGGGTAAACTCTAGAAATAAGCCATGGAGAGATGCAGCATGTCCAGAAGAACAGAAGACAGAGAGCCTCCCTCAATTCAAGGCTTCCATCGTTTGAGCTCACCTGCCAGAAAGGCCTGTGCCAAAAACAGCAGCATGGCACAGTTAAAAAACAATTAAACCACCCCCCTTTCATCCCTGCTGGGAAATCTTTGCAAGCATTCCAAGCCAAATATTGTGCTGGTTTTGTAGGTGGGGCCTCAGATGCACAGATGGGAAGGGGGCCTGCCTGAGCCGTGGAATACACTACAACCAGAAATAGGACCTCGGAGTCCCATCCTAACACAGCAGGTGGAGGACCAAACACTGCCCCATATTGCATTTCAAGGATGATGCCTCCATCCCGCCTCCCTCAGTTGAGAAAAAGCCCACAGGAATAAGCATTCAGAACCACCCACAGAAACTTGGTGAGAAGCGCGTTTGGTGTGTGCACAGGAGAGCTTTTCTCCCAGGAATCGTTGCTGTTCCAGAAATGCATAAATGTGAGGAAACAAGCCCTCGAGACTACCTTGAGAAAATCCTTATGATGATCAGCAAAATGAGAATTGTTCCGTGCTCTCAAACACATGCTAGGACTGACTAAACAATTCTTTCCAAGGGAACATTTAGGATGGTATGGAGAAGGGCAATGAAAATCCACGGAGAGTTGCAGCCACTCCTCCAAGGGGAGCTGCTGCAGCTCTCCGTGGAGGAGTGGCTGCAACAACCGGGACTGTTCAGCTTAGAAAAAGGCTACTCGGGGGAGACAATATAGAAGTATTTAAAATAATGCACAGTGTGGAGAAAGTAGAGAGGCATTTGTCTCCCTCTTCCATAACACTCAAACCTGAAGTTGTTGTTGTTATTATTATTATAACATTTCTATGCCACCCCTTGCCGAAGCCTCGGGGCGGCTTACAACACAATAAAATACATTGAAATACAATAGAACATTAACAGTATAACAGTATAAAATAAGTAAATAAAGAATATAGGAGGAGAAAAGAGAAGGAAGAAGAAGTTGCCCTGGCCAGATCATATATTTTAACAATTAAAATGATGTTTAAATAAAAAGGTCTTTACCTGGCGCCGAAAAACCAGTAATGACGGTGCCAGGCGGACCTCTTTGGCGAGTGAATTCCATAGGTTGGGCGCCACCGCAGAGAAAGCCCTCCTCCGAGTACTTACTCTCCTAATTTCTTTCATGGAGGGTTCCCGGAGAAGGGACTCTCCCACAGATCTCAAGGGGCGGTCGGGCATATACGGACGTAAGCGCTCGTTCAGGTAGCCAGTTATCTCATGAAGCTGATTGGTGGGAGGTTTTGGGCAAGTCAAAGGAAATACTTCTTCACACAGGTGGTGATGACCACCCATCTGGTTGGCTTTAAAAGGGACTGGACAGATTCAAGAGGGAGGAGGCTACTAGCCTTGCTGGCTATGGGCTACCTCCTTCCCCAGAGGCGACCTGCCTACATGCACCAGTAGCCAAGGAGCTGGGCAGGAGAAGCTGTCGCACCCTCCTGCTGGAGGGAGCCTGTGGGCGGCTGGTTTGCCACCATGTGCAAGGAGTGCTGGAGCGGAAGAATGACGGTCTGATCCAGCATGGCTTTCTTGTGTGATGCAAAAAATGCGAGGCATCTTGCCAGCATTTCCCAAACCTTTGGTCTTGACACCCCCCCCCCCCGGCATATTCTACCCTGGTTCATTTCCAACCCAGCACTAATGATCTGTGCCCCGAATAATAACTTTTTTGCTCAAACAAGCTTTTGCTTAATTTAAATTGAATTTTGTTATTGATTATTTATTCAATTTTGGTTGTTAATTTTTCTGGTTGTATTTGGTTGTGTATGGTTTTACATAATCTTTCTTATGTGAGACGTTTTAACAATTTACTAATTTTACTGTTTTATTGACTGTATTTCTAAGATGGTTTTAGCATTTGTAAGCTGCCTAGAGAAACCATGGGTTATGTGGCAACACAGCAGTAGAATGACAATAAATGAATAAAGCTAGCAACCTTTGCAAAACTCTGTGGATTAGGGTCAGAAATCCACCACTAACATTAGAAAGTAGAATCTTTCAGAAAAAGGCATCTGATAAGACCAGAAGGCAAGCCTTGCTAATCAGGCCTGTGTTCCTCAAGGTCTTACCCATTTTGAAAGCCACTGCCTAATATCAAACTTATTCAGCATTTTTGCTACTATACAGTGGAAACATGCACATTCTTAATATCTACCTTTTTGGAATTTTTGATGATTGCAAACTGTGTAACTGACACCAAAAAAACTTTCAGAAGCTCAAAGTTATTATCAGATATCTGCATAGCCTTGAATTGCATGTACATCTCTTATGCTGGTGGAACGCACAACAGGGCCAAGTCAGCCATTCATACACACACACACACACACACACACACACAGCAGAAATTCCTCAACTCTGATGGAGCTTCACAGTAAAACCAGATCAGTGCCTCATACAATGCACAACAGGCAATACTTTCAGGGGCTATTTCGGCCCTATTCCTGCAATTGAGAGACTCTCACACACCTATGCAGAAGCATAACAAAAATGACCCACCCCTCCAGGGGAGTTTGATAGGAGGCAAAGCCAGATCAGTGAATCAGGCTGAGGCAAACAGGTAGCCTCCTCCAGGACAGTCAATGACATTCAATTTCTAAGCCAAGCACAATGGAAGACGCCAATCCCATCTATCCCTGCAGAGGCACAGCAGCAATTCACCCAGTCTCCAGCCACTGAAAAGCCGGTAAAGCCCGAACAGCAATGCATACAGAAACGCGACAGGCAGCCTCCCTGCATTTGGATGCTCTGGGCTCCCAGGAACTTTTAATTCTTCAAGGACGTGCATTCTCATGGCATACATCTAGATAATTAGAATTTCCTCCACCCGTTCACCAACAGGAGGAAAAACATGCACTACACCCTTTATGTACCTCTTACACCCATCAAGGAGATCAATCAGCAAGAAAAGACTCGCTTAACGCTGTCACTCCCATCTCAGCGCACAGATGGTCCCGTCCTCCCACCGCCGAGAAACGTACCTTGGATTAGTCTATTACCTCCTGTGAGAACAAAGGGGGAACTACATGCTCCCCCTTAAAGACACAGTTGGTACTAACTCTCGCCCTTGGCTACAATGGAAGTCAGGCCGTACCATTGTGAAACGTGGGGTGGTCCATTTCGTTCCTCCCCCCCCCCGTTTGGCGCGCCAATAGTACGACGCGCTCCGTCAAAGAGGGAGGGAGCTGAGCCGCGAAAAGGCCTTCTGCTCAAGGACCCGCAGAGCTCCTTATAGTAGCCCAGGAAAACGCCTGTGGAGCTTGTGGGCAGGATTGTCTGTTTTGTTTACTTTCCCAAACTCTAAAGTAATTTCGCTGAGGAGAAATGCAAAATTGAGGTTTTCTAGACTTCGATCTTGCCGTCGCAGATAATAGCATTAGTGAACAGGCGTTAAAGTAGACGCCTCCTTGGCTTAGGAGCTGCTGCCGAGGGCAGGGCAACTCGGGTGGTGCGGCGGCGGCTTGGCCGGCACAACGGCGTGGAGCGAGGGCCGAGAGGGTTTCGGGGGCAGCTGCCTTCGCTTCCCAGCAGAACATGCTCCTGTTGAACGGCTACCTGTCTTCTGGGGGTCCAGATGGATACCGCGCCTTTAACCCCCTCGGAGGAGGGCCTTCTCTGCGGTGGCGCCCCATCTATGGAACGGGCTCCCCAGAGGGGTCCGCCCGGCGCCGTCGTTGTTTTTCGGCGCCAGGCCAAGACCTTTTTATTTAAGCGTCATTTTAATTGTTAATATTATTTGCTTATTTTATCTGGCCAGGGCGACTTATTTTATATTGTTAATTTATGTATTATATTTTATGTTGTGAGCCGCCCCGAGGCTTCGGCGAATGGGGCGGCATAGAAATGTTTTAATTAATTAATAAACAAACAAACAAACAAACCACCTGCCAAACGCAGAACCTGGAGTAGCCAGCGCGCACCAACGCGGCTGCCTCTAAAGGGGCAATTGGGAAAAAATAACGGAGGATCCCTGGCTCCTGATGTGCCACCTCCAGGACCAGAGGCAGTGTGCCTGAATGCACCAACTGCTGGGGAAGATGGGCAGGAGAGTACTTTGCACTCCTGGCCTGCTGTTGGGGTTCTCTGTACAGCTGGTTGACCACTCTGTGACCAGAATGTTGGACGCTGGGTCTGATCCAGCAGGTCTGTTGCGTGCTTGATAGGCACCTGTGCCAAAATTGTACTAGCCAAAACATTTAAGGTACTGGAAAGGCCCTTGCTCTTTTGCATCAGGCTACCCTACCAGGTAAAGGTTTCAAAATATGGAAACTTTAGGCAGTAACTGGACAGGTTCACCAGTTGAATTTCTACCTGGCATTCAACTGCTAACACAGGAACCTTGTTTTTGGATCATATAAGCACCTGTCAACAGTTGTATGCAAAAAGTCAACATATGCAGTTGTCATTGCTGAAATTTTACTTCTTTGCCTCCTCCCACTAGGAATTTTTTCATTCCCAAAACACAAAACAGATATTTTCTTCCAAATTATGTTACAGCCTTTATTTTAAAAAGCATGGTCAGTGAAGCCACCTGTTCAGTTAAACTCTATAGTAAAGGGCAAGTACCTTAAGAAACCCCCATTACAATAATTTTATTATGGGTGAAAATTGGGAAGGGTGAAGTACATGGAATAATCTAACTCTCCATGTATTCCTAGCCTAAAAATCAGCTACTGTTCTTTATGTTGAACTTGCAAGCACACAGTGCATTTTTACTCCAGTGGCTTGCTGCTTATCAGTGACCAGTCACCATCTTGTCTTGATATGCAACATGAGGGGTTAAAGCCCGTCTAGTCAGGTGCTGTATCGTTGTGTTCAGGAAGATTTACTCTTAAGTATATTTAATATTGCAGGCTTTTAAAAGTGCAGCCATGATTATTTAGGAAGGTTGTGAACTGCACCCCAACACTAGGCGTGGCATTCCACTCATCTTCATAAGAAATATTTATAATTTAATCTGCCCCAAGGAAGAAGTTCTAATTGTCACACCATACAGTTCAAATTGCTGCCCTGACATCAGGGTCTTGTATTTTCCTAATCAATCCTATTCGGTGCTATGCTTGCAATACTGCTTAGGATAAACAACATTCATATTTGAGGTGAGAAGTACTATGAATATAATGCAGCAAATGTTAAATAATTTTACATTTCATTCATTTCCATCTGAGATACCTGAACTTGTTTTAACTCTCACGCTGGAATCAATTCCTGTGCTCTTAAATTGAGCTAGATCATGCTTTTTAAAAGAGCATGAAGTTAATTTGACAAGCCTACAGATGAAAATGTGTTTCTCATTCGACTGCCAAACTTCAGCAACACTCTCAGTGCCAACCATGCCTTTTTCTTGTGTTTTCCTTCCTGATGCTGTATTAATCAAGAAATTTTATTTTCTGCTATCAGCATATTCATTTAATCCGCAGAAGACAATTACTTTGTACATTTTCTGCTTTTCATGAAAAAGAATGAATTGCAGCCATTTTCATAATATTGCAGTTTCCCCCCAATATATAAAAATGCATCTCCAGAACAGACTGCGCAAAGTATGCATAGTACATTTCATACAAACGGCTACTTTCACATATTTTAAACATAAATACTTTAAAAGAAAACAAACTGTAAAAGAGACCAAAAATTCTATTTTCTTAGTTTCTGCAGTGACATTTACACTGTTTCCTCTAATCCTTTCAACTTTTGCTACATAACAGTCACAATGTATACTCAGTTATCAAACCGGTTAGCTACCATCAATATCTAAATGGATCAATTGTATTCTACTCTCTACACTACCAAAGCATTCAACACTTTTCATATGTGACAACATCCAAAATTATTCTTTTATATTCAATGTAAAGCCAACATACCATATCTGATCCATTGGTCCTCACAGTTTACATCATTTAGCTATTTATCAATGGGGTCATTATTACTGAAACAAAATTCAACTTAAAAACAGTTTATTTTAGGAACTTAGCCCACAGCAACACGAAATTTAAAGAACAGCACCATTAAGTAATTGGTACAACATGTGATGATGCATAATGTAAACACCTGCTGTTATTAAGAAAATGTTTCAAGTTCTGCATACCTACAGTGTTTTGTATTGGGTAATTCTCCGGTATAATGATATAGGAGTGATTCTTAAGGAATACAATAAATAGAAACACTGTCTTTATTGAGACTCATGTGTGGCTCCAGTAGTCAAGCCAGATTGGATCCCATTGAGCAAATTGGTCTGCAGTCTACTACACAGGTTATTTCCAGAGGACATCTTCAACCAAACAACAAGAGCAACACGATTGTAACCGTGTTCACTCCAATTAATGGCACTGTAAAGAAAAAACAAAGAGCATCAAATACGAGCATCTCATTAAACTGAGAACACTTTAAGAACAAGGAAATGTCACCTCTACTCCTACCCTTTCACAAGGTCAAAAGGCTTGTGAATAATAACAGGCTGATCTTAAGGCCTACTAGGCAGGATAAGATGTACAATGAATCTTCTGGGTGCAGTGACATCTGTGCTGGTGTTGCACTGCAAGCCCTCAGGTACTGTATGGATACAGCAATCCAGGACAATCCCAATTAGATCGATAAATAATTCTAGGTCGATCGACAGATGGCAATGTCTTTAACAGTTACAATGATGCCAAATATTTGGGATGTGGGAGACATGAAAAACAATACCAGTGTCTTACAGAAGAGAATTGTGTCTGCCTTACCTCTCATAACTGTCCGTACAGATCGGATAAGGTTCATTAACTGTCCTTTAATTCCTGGCTCTTCTCCAAATCCTCCAAGTCCCTGGTCCGTTCCCCAGCCAACTGTATAATGCACAAGTTTTATTAGTGTTAAACATAAAAATACTTCCTAAAGATCATCACACATTGAATGAACAATCTTGGAAAGATGGTTCTTTAATCCCAAACATAATAAAGATGCTTTTGATTCTTTGTTTCAACAACATGTAACCACTTGAAATCATTATTTAAATGGAATATATAAAATGTATTATGAGATACGTAACGGCCAAATAACAGAACTTTTGCAAGCTGGAAGCCTTTATATTAGCAGACACAGTTTTTTCCTCTTATATGGTCACATAATTACAATGTTCACATGAAAAGCTGATCGTCACCCTCAAAAAAATCTAAGGACATAATTACTCCAATGCAGGGAGCCATAATTTAATGGCCTGGCCAAACTATCAAAAGCAAATCTCTCAGAGCTATTACATTTGGTGTGCTCTTCAATACAGGAAGTCCCCTGCATTCGAACCTTCAACTTGCAAACTTTCAAAGATGCACAGGTGTTTTTGTCTATTTACTGTAATAATCGAGAGAGGCGAGTCCAGCAAAGTGTAACACAGGTCACACCAACCCAACAGTAATGCGATAGGAGGAAGACCGCATCAGTTAACATGGGTGCACATCCGTACTGCCATCTCCCCAGAAGTGTAACTTCTGGAAGTCCTCCGGTGTCATTATAAACCTATTACAATACCCTACTATATAGCCCTTGACAGCAAAAGAAGAAGGGGATGGCAGAGGTTGAGGTGGCTGGATGGGGTCACTGAGCAGTCAGCGTGAGCTTAGGTGCTCTGGGGGATGATGGAGGACAGGAAGGCCTGGAGGAATGTTGTCCATGGGGTTGTGATGGGTCAGGCACGACTTCATGACTAACATAAATACAACACTAGGTATATAGCCCATTGTGTTAGTTGGGTACCTGGGCTAATTTTGTTGGACTTATGAACAGACTGAACTTACAAACTCACTCTCAGAACAGAACTGGTTATATGTAGAGGACTTCCTGCAATTGCTTGCACCAGAGTTTGACTGACTTGATTTCAAAGCTTCACAGTCATAGTTAATGGGATTACAAAGACCACTCATCTAGACCAGCATTCCATTGTCTAGATGTTAATATGACAATGGTAAAACCAGGTGAAAATATTTAAAACTGGCAACTGACATGTGCAATCAGAAGTAAAGCAATAATTTAGGCAGAGAATATAATCAGAATTAATCCACCTTAACCACCCTTCCCCCCATGCTAAAAAGAGTTTGTTTATTTGATACAGATTGTGTTTCATATTCTTATTTTTATTTTCTGCATTTTCCCAGGTTTTCTATGTTAATTACTGGGAATGGGAGTGAGAACTATGTGGTACCTGCAGTAGCATTTCTGAATACATTTGTGTTATATACAGCAGGCAGGCCATCAAGCTGTTTCCTGAGGCCATTAGCTGTTGCACGCCCCATCTGCTTCTGCACCAGAGACAGCTGCAACTACCCTAGCTTGAAAGTCCAGCAGAGCACTAGGAAGACTGCAAGTGAACTCCATCTCTTCACTTTACAGATTCAACACACCTAGAAGGCTAGAAAAGCAAACCCAAAGACATTGAAGATTAATGCCATGATTCTGTTGTTATGTTCTGTCAAGTCATTTCTAACTGATGGCAACACTACGAATGAAGGGACTCCACAATGCCCAGTCCTTGACAGCCCTACTCAGCTCTTGTAACTTCAAAGCTGTGGCTTCCTTTATGAAAATACACTTTAATAAGAACTGGAATGACATCACTCCCAGATGACTAGTCTTGTCTTACTGTCACATCTACCAGTTCATTCCTATCCCACAGTAATTCCAAAGAGCCTTCATGATGTTTAGAATTGGAATTCAAACATTCACTGTGAACCATAAAACTTACTGGGTGAACTTTGGCCAGTCACACACTCAACCTAAGCCTTCTCACAGGTTGTGAGGGTAAAACTGGAGTTGGGGGAAACTGTGGATGAACGAGGAACATAACCCTAATAAATAAAAAGTAATTAGTGTGTTGATTTCATAAACACTCATGTGGAGTAAAAGGCTCACTTGATCACAGTCACACCTTGAAAGAAGAGAGGGGAAATTACTCTTTAATTCCATTTGATCTTCGCCAATTGCAATTTTGGCAGAATGATTAAAAGGGCATTAAGGAGAAAGTAATATTCAACAAAGGGAGGAAATCCAATAGTCAGTGTTAATACAGTCAACTGGATGAAGATTAAGAGCATAAAGTATGTGCAAGAAATCACCAATCCCCATTTCACCTTTATCCTGATCAAGCTATCAAAAGAGCATGTGATAATGTGTCTTTGAGCACTTATGAAAAACACCAAACCAACAGAACAATTCATCCACATTGCTTGCTCGGGGCTCGACTACTGGGGAAGCCTACCTATCTCTCTCCATCTGATTTTCAACTGTTCATACATAATCTGGAACTGAGGGTACGAAACAAGGCGGCCAAGTTTACCAAGGCGGCCTCTAACCCAAGAGGGTGCTACTTATATCCTTAACGTTTAATAGATGCATACAGACTTATACAGATACATGTATCCCTTAACATACAATCTACATAGCATGACTTATAAAAGTGGCTACGAGCATTGCATCTTTCTACACACATAGTTAGGCTGCTGAAAAAACACTCAACCAACAGAGATGCTCAAAGTTCGGGTGGGGCGGCAGAGACCAACGACCCACATTCATCTGACCCTCCCCGACAAGCTTTACTGGCGCAATTTTGGAGTTGCGCCGTTCGGGGCCTGCCTTGGTTCCTTCACCTAAAGCACTGGCCTGGGGCGTCACTGCCCTTTTGTAAATAATCGGCTCGCCACCCTTATTTGTTATATTATTCAACGGCTGAGCTGCCCCCAGGGCCTGCCCTTGTCCTGGGCACACTACTCTTCTCCCCGCGGCCGGAGAAAAGGGGGGTCGGGCCCGCTGCCGCCTCCCTGGTCGCCGGCAGGGAGACCCGGTGGGCTCTCTTCCCTTCCCCGCTCCCGCCTCACTCACTCCTTCGGAGGAAGCGCTCCTCATGCAGCACCGCGATGGCGTTGACGAAGAGCAGCGCGGCCTGGAGCAAGGCGTACAGCGTGAACGCCATGGCCGCCGCGGCTGCGGCCCGACACGCATGCGCGACGCTCGCCGGGACGTGGCGAGGCGAGGCTGCGGCGTGACGCAGGGGAGGGCGGGGCCTCGTGCAAGCCTTTCCTCCGCCCTCTCAAGGGCCGTCTCTCACTCACGGCCCTTTTCCCGCCTTTTTTTCTCGCCTCTTTATGGAGGCGTCCATGTTGTGGACTTCAATTCCCGTCGGCCCTTATTAGTGGGGCCAATAGCCGGGAGTGCAGGGGGTGGTTGTCTAAACGGCCTTGAGGGCTCTAGATGGGCTGAATTGCACGTCGTGCGTGAAAAATGGCATGTGTGTGGGCTAGGCGAGCTTGTTCTCCTTACATTTTATCTCTCCCTGCCTCTCTCTCAGACACACACACTTTAAAAGCAGTTTACAAGTTTGCCTTAAAAAGGCCTGCAAACCAGAGGAGCTGCTCCTGTCTATTCCTTTGATGCTCTTCCTGGACTTCTAGGCTGGCCCTGGGTCCGACTGCAAGTGGGGCTTTTGGCTGTTAGGAAGCCAACCTGAGGTAGATGTGCATTTTTTTGACATGTGTACACAAATAATGGTGCAATTCTGTGCAGGTTCAGACAGAAAAAGGCCTACACTTCCCAGCATGCCCGAGGCAGCTTGGTTGGGGCATTCTGGGAAGCACTGGCCTTTTTTGTGTCCAGACTTGCATGGTTTTGTGCCATCTCTCTCTCTCTCTCTCTCTGGAGGACACATTCCCTAACCCTTCACAACCAACCACTTGACAGCCAAGGCTGAGAAAACCGTTTACGAGGCTGGCTGTAAGCCAACATGGTGGAGGAGAAAGGGTCATTTTAACTAACGAACTGCAGCCTGAGCTCTCCTTCAGCACCATCATCCTGATGTGAGTAGCACAGACCCCTAATAGGGAGGTGCAGGACCTCTGGCCTACCTGGGGGTCCCAATCCAAGCCTCTTGGCTTGCTTGGAAGACCATGGGTCCTTCCTCAGTCTCAATCCCCTTTCTGTAATTATAGTTCCTTGGCTTATGTGCAGCTCCCCCACCCTTTGCTAATTCTAAAAGGATGAAATGCTTCTCAACTACTGCCAATAAAAGCTTTGCACTAAAATATACTGGGATTTTGGGCTTTGACCCTTTAGCCTGTGCCTGCCCCACCCCCGAGCGCTTCTCCAGTATGAAGATGTGATCTAAACAGTGTATTTCTTTATTGGGAAGAATAAAGAATAAGAGTTCCTTGATAGTTTTGGCCAGTTTTGTAGAGTTCTCATCCAGATGTTGTTCATGCAATTTACTTGCATGTCTTACAAATCAAGTGAGAAATGTATATTAAGGAGATTCCTTCATTAGTCCAACTCAAAAGTCAAACAAGCAAAAGGAAATCATTTTTTCTCTATCCAGTGTTTAATTATCAGAGTGCAAGACACTGGGGAATACATTTCTGTATGCATTTAAACTAGCGAACAAAATTATGCTGTTATTACTGCTTGTGTATTCATTAGTCAATACTTGTATAGGGTTTTAAAATGCATTTTCTGTGAGTAGTTAGTATTACTATGCTATTTAGCTGGTGAATTTCATTATTGTCTCTTTTAATATTTTTATTTTGTTGGTGATGTAAATAGATTTTGAAATAGTAATTAAAAAACTCATCAGGTCGTAATTGTTATTTACCCAAAATGCAGGTGTCAAGATTAATAACAGATCCCAAGCTAAAACAATTATATTTTGCATTGTATCAACGGTGCCTGGCCTCTGGGCACTACTGTAGTACAGATAACAAAGCAAATAATAACCGGAGCTCAGGGATACTATACAGCTATTGATGCATAAATCGACACATTTTTCTCACTTATATCTTCCATTTTGATTGGTGGCAGGGTCCTGATTTGCATCATCGCAGTGATTTTATTTCGCAGTAATCATATTGTGTATGAACGCCTTAATTCTGAATGGTTGACAGGTTTTATTACCCAATCAGACCACAATGTCTGGCAATATGGCTGTGCTTTGATAGCTGCTATGAAATCCTTCTGCTTTGATAGGAAGGCTCATTTAGCAGTGAAGATGCAGGACAGAGACAGTGAGACATGGGGTTTCATTGTGTTTCCTGCCAGAGGCCTCCTGCGGACCTTGAATAGGGTAATCACATCTTTCTAGGGGTATTTAAAGTGCTTCCAGTGACTTTGGGCGCTTTAACCCCAGAAAGCATTTGCTCCAAAGGCATTTTCATAAGTGATAATAAAAATGTGCCTCTTGCCCTGTTTTGCAGCTATAAGGTTTACATATAATTGCGTCCATTGTTGTACGACTGACTAGACAATTCAGACTTACAGTGAGGCTTAAGTTGGTCAATGGAACATAAGTTGGTCTGACTTAAGTACCCTTGATTGCAACTGATTTATTCTAAGTATGACTAAGTAGATCCAATTCTTGTTTTAAATTGTTTAAGACAGAGCAAGTATTTATTCTGCTAAATACTTTACTGCTAAATGCATTCATTTCTAAATGTATGCTGTTTATCTGGCATGTATTTATAGACCAACAATTTCTGCAGACCCAGCTAATGAGTTCTAATAAAATAGGGGTTATGTCATTAGGCATATGTGCAAAAGAGGGGAAATAACCACTCACAGAAAAGGCCTTGGGATGGTTTCAAATACATGGTAAAACTTAAATGTGTTGGGCTAAACTCAGGGAGACCCAAGTTAACCCTCTCCTATCTGCACACAGCTACCTCTGAACCCCCCCCCCCAACCCCCGTAATCAGGCTTAGAAGAAATGGACCTGTTTGTGCAGGAGGGATTTTTAGGTGGGGGCAGCTAGCAAGGGAAGGTTTTATGTCATGGAGGCACCCTCCTTCCTTTCTCATGGGAGCATCAGTGCAGGGAGACCCTACTTTAAGAAATTCAGCTTGAGCGCCATAAAGGATGACAAAGCTAAGTTATATTTGCTCCCCTCGTTACACATCTGTGGATCCCATTAGTGCAAATGGGATATAAATGTGTATATATTGAGGGTACAATAGGCTCACAAGAAAGGATGGACAGGTAATGCACAACATTAAGAGCATGGTACATGTGAGTGGTGTTGGGGAAATAGATAATTTTGCGCTTTACAAGCTTTGGCTCTGTCATTAGGATAGATGCTATTCAAGTTCCATAATAGATATGTATAAACTGCACAGATCTCAGATGAATTTCTTCTTTTAAAGCTGAAAACAGCTCCTGGCTTACCTGGGGACAAACTTGTATGGGCATGTGGTTCTGTCAGGGAGGAATGATAGCCACCTGCTTCTCTTTTCCTCACCAAAGAAACCAGGCACCCCACAGCTTTGTTACCAGGTAAACTGGGGGCCTTATTTTGGTAGGCAGCATGTAGATGGGTCCTATCAGAGAAGGAAGGAGAGGTGAACAAACAAAAACATACATAAACCTCGATGGGTTAACAAAGAGCCACAATTTCATTGGTCTCAGCCTAGCCTGGAATATTTTTGAGTAAGTCACCTGCCTATGGACAGATTCAGCCATCCTGGCCCAGTAGCCTTAATGGGGAGGCAGAAGTCATGGACTTATACCAGGCGCACATCATTTCTGCAGCCCTGTGGTGTGGCTCATTAAAATACAGGGCTTTGTGTCATAATTAGTGATGTTGCCAAAGTTCAAAATTAACAGGCTTAACAGAACTTTTCCAACTTACAAAACTTGACTCTGTTGTGAGTTGAGCTCTGCTGAAATTCTCAGCACTTTCCTATTTCCTAATAAAGAGATGCAACAGCTTGGGCCCTGGGTAGCTAAAGGAACACTTGCGTCCATATATGCCCTCCCGCCCCTTGAGATCAGCAACAGATGCCCTTCTCCGGGAACCCTCTGTGAATGATATTAGGAGAGTACTCGGAGGAGGGCCTTCTCTTCGGTGGCGCCCCATCTATGGAATGCGCTCCCCAGAGAGGTCCGCCTGGCGCCATCGTTATTTGTTTTTCGGCGCCAGGCTAAGACCTTTTTATTTAAAACTTATTTTAAGTGTTAATTTATTATGTAGGATTTTAAAAAAATTTAAGCTGAGATGCACCGGGTTTTAATATTTTTAGTGTATAACTTTGTTTTTGTATAATTTTGTATGTTTTTGTTTTTGTTGTGAGCCGTCCCGAGGCTTTGTTGAGATGGGGGCGGCATAGAAATGTTTTAAATAAATAAATTCTGAGCATTTGTGCTAAGCTGGGGCTAGCTTGCTCAGCATTGATCAAGCATCCTAAAGCAGTAGTCACTGATTGTATAAGTTCAGAACAGAAGATCAGATAGAAAGCTGTCCATTCTTGCCGCAATTGACTTGCCATTTTAACATGGGATTGCATTACAACGCTTTGAACTTTGGCTCCTGACCAGGCAGGTGTTAGGTGTAATCCTATTCATGTTTACACAGGAAAATGTTTACAGCTCCCAGCATTCCAAACAGCACGTGAGCTTTTACTTTCTACTTACAGATAGAATTGTACCCGTACTGTGTTTGACTAGACTGGGCTGCATATGTACATGTGTGTGAAGGAGGTGGGGATATCCCCCACTGTCTGGAAGTTTTCCTGGAAATTACCGGGAAGATTTTCATGTGTTTCAAAGGTGCATGGTTAGCTTCTGTGCACAACAGGCAGGCTGTGAAAGCCTCTTGGACCCCTTGCAGCCTGTCTTGCCAAGCAAGGGAAGAACTCTCCCAATTCAGTTTGTGAGGATGGGGTAGCTGGAGGAGCAAGTAAACAAGCAGTCAACCCCCCCCCCCCCCCGCCAAACTTACATAAATCACTAAGAATCCTCTGTATGAGGGTTATTCAAGTCAACTATGCCTTGGTTGCTAGTTGAGATGAAGTCTCCGCTTGCCTCAGGGTATGCTGCTTATGCAACTGGATCATAGTTCACATATGCATTGAAAGCAATGAAGTTCTGTTCAAGGCCAACAGAGAAACAGCATGAGAAGCTTAAGCACAAGGAGCGAAAAGATTAAAGATAGAAAGCATAGCGTAGTAGTCAGTGCTCACAAAGGGACTT